TCAAGGTGGGGGTACTTGTTCCTCTTCTCCCGGTCCAGCTGTTGCTTCGGGTTCTGGCTCGGTTGGAGCCCATTCCCACAAGAGTAGTCCTTGTGGTTCCTTGGTGGCCGGCTCAGCTTTATTTTCAGACGCTGCTTGATAGGTGTCCGAACCCGGGGCGTTTTCCCGCGGCTTTTCGGCAGGTCGGATCGGTCCTGTTCGTGACTGGTTTGGCCTTCTCCTTGGCTCTTCGCGTCTGGTATTTTGACGCGGGTATCACCTTCTCTGTGGTGATCAGGTGGCTTTGTTGACGGAGTCCCACCTGCGAGCTTCATCTTGGTGACAGTATGACGTTCCTGGTGTTTCTATTTACTTTTTCTTGCTCTTCGTAGGTTATCTTTGCTTTCGTATCGGTTGTCGTGTCCTTTCTTGGGTTTTCAGGACTACAGTTATTTGAAGTTTCTTACTGTTGCCCCGTTTTGTGTGGCGCTGGCGGAGCTGCTCCGGCTTGCGTTCGGTGTGGATGTCACATCTGCCCCGTTTCGTACGCTTTTTCGTGTTTTGTTTCACCTCCGGCCTGCTCATGTTTCGCCTGAGCCGTACTGGTCCTTGATCAGGGTGCCTTTTTATCTTCTCCTCAGTTTGTGGTAACCCCTTCAGTTCAGGTTTCTGCTCTTTGGTACTGGTGGTAGGTTTGTACGTTTGCAGCCTTTCTCTGTCCTTCTGGCGACGGTCAAGGCGGCTGCTTTCTGGAGGGGTTCTTGGGTTATTGATGCTTGATTGGTTTGGCCAGGTGTGCGTCCTGTGTTGTCCGGTTGCGCTTTTTGCCATTACCTGCATACAGTGTCTGGGGAAGCACTTTGGGTTGATCCGGTTCCCCTCGTTCCGTGTTTCAGGGCTCGGGTCTCCCAGGTCATCCGCAGACTTTTTCAGTCTTCCAGCCTGCGGTCTGTCTTTGCGCCCGTGTTGTTCGGACGTTTGCAGCTTTTGCTGCTGTGTTGGTGACGTCTCGGGCTCATTTCGGGCGCAGGGAATTGAGGGTCGCACAGGTTCTTGGCCGCACATTCTTTATGCGCGTCTGCTCCTGTGCATTCCTGTTTCCTTGGGTTGCAGGTTGCAGCCTGTTGTCTCGGCTTCGCATTATAGAGTTTGTGGCGGCCGCCTCCTAGGTCAGCCCTTTCTTTTCCTTCTCTTTGGGTATGAAGCTCCAGGGAGCCGTAGGGGCTCCCCACAGAAAACTAGCATTGAATGTAATGAAACGCCATTTTCTGGGCGAGTCCCGGAGGCTCTCTGGCAACCCTCCCTCCCACCGGTCAGTGGTTTTTCGCGTTGGTTGAAGCTTAGCTTCCGAACTGAAGCTAGGCAGCCGGCACGGTAGGTCTGGGGCTCCCCCTCCCCCTCTTGGGGCGGGGAGGGCTGCACGGACGATCGGCGCGGCACTAAAGTGTGATGTTTGCTTGTTTCCTTGTTTCCTTGGGATAGTAGGAGTTTCTACCCCTCTTTTCGTTTTTTTGTTAAAGTTTTTTACCATGTGGGGTTTGTTTTTTTATGCCTACCTTTCTGGGTGCCTAACCCCAGTCGATGGCAGATGCACCAACCACAAGGGGGTTTTCTAGGGCCATTGCTCCCTGAAACCTCTCTAAAGGGGCCAGGTTGTGGCGCTGGACCCTGGTAGGTCTGAACTCCTTAGCTAATGTCCCAGTCTAATATAACATACATTAGCCCGATAAGCTCCAGGGAGCCTCCGGGGCTCACCCAGAAAATGGGGTTTCATTACATTCAATGCTGTTTTTTTTGTCCGTTGCTGTTTGCAGAGTCTGCGTTGGTGCATTTTCTGCAAGCGGCTTCGTCTAGTTGCCGGCCTATGTCGGACTTGCTGGTTCTCCGGAGGGGCCGTGGTAGTCCTGCCCGGAAGGGTCGTGCCAGGTCTCCAGGGTTCCTTCAGTCGTCGCAAGCCAGTAGTTCCAGATTCGGGGCCGGCACCTCCTCTAGAGCCATCAGCATCTGGTCGGCGCAGTGATCGCTCTGTGCGTCGGTCGGGCTCTCGTAGGGGTCGTCGGCCCTTTCGCGGGTCACCCAGTTGAGGGGGCGATAGGGAAGAGGCTCATTCTATTTGCTCTCGCCTGGTCCCTCGATTCGTGGGCATTTCGGGTCGTTTCCTCCGGCCTGTGGTGGCGTTGGGTCGCTCCTCCTCCTTCGGTGGGTTCGGGGCTGGTAATGAAGGCCTCTTCTCCTGTGCTTTGTCAGGTCATCCGGGAGTGGGTTCGCTTGGGTGTGGTCGAAACGACAACATCCCTCAGGTGGGTTTCCCGCCTGTTTTCAGTTCCGAAACAGGACTGTGCGGATCTGTGATTCATACTGGACTTGTCTCATCTGGGTCTTTTGCCCCTCTTTTCGCATGGCCACTCTGTCTCAGGTCCGGCTGCTTTTGGCGCCAGGTGCCTGGATGGTGTGTCTGGGCCTCCGGGACGTGTATTGGCACGTCCCAATTCATCTAGGGTTCAGGGACTGGCTTGGTTTTGTCGTGGGGCGACAAGCTTACCGCTTTCGTTGCCTTTCATTTGGCTTGAATCTGGCACCTCGAGTGTTCACACGTCTTACCCAGGTCATGGTGGCCCAGTTGCGTCTGTTAGGGGTTCGGGTTCTGGCTTACCTCGACGACTGGCTGGTGTGGGTTCCCAGCCAGTCTGTGTGTCTGCTTGCCAGGGATTTGGTTCTTTCCCAGCTCGCCGGGTTCGAGTTCTTGGTGAACTGGAGGAAGTCTCATTTGGTTCCCTCTCAGGTTCGAACTTGGCTGGGTCTTGTGTGGGACTCTCGGACCGTTCTTTGTCTCTCCCTCTTGCGACGCTGTTATGGCTGCGGTCCCACCTCTGGCTGTTTTTGGAGGGCACCTGGGTCACACGTCGGTTGTTCGAGCAGCTGTGTGGGAGCCTGAACTTCGCCGTGATGGTCTACCCATCGGGTCGGATCTGGCTTCAGCGGATGTTCTGGTTTCTGTGGGGTCATCCCTTCCGCCGCTCTCGCGATCGATGGGTTCAGATCCTGGGAGCCTTGCGTCGGCTGCTGCGTCGTCGGCTTCCTCTACGAGTTTTTCGGGGTTCTGTGCCGTGGCACCTCCCCAAGCCCTCACTCGATGTGTTCATGGATGCCTCGTCTCTCGGCTGGGGTTTTGTGACTAATGCTCACTAGGCCGGCCAGGGTCATTGGGGTCCGTCCTTCCGTCGAGCTCACAGCACGGCGCGGGAGTTTGCAGCGGTGTGGCATTCGCTTCAGAGGATTCAAGTCGCTCGAGGAGCAATGATCTGGCTCCATTCGGACTGCTCCCCGGTGGTTCATTGCTTGAACCGCGGGGGTTCGATGCGGTCCTTGGTTCTGTAGGGCTGGTCTCTTCGGGTGACTCGTCTGCTGAGTTCTCGGGGTTTGGCTTTCCTGGCGGTTCATGTTCAAGGGGTGTCAAATGTCCTGGTGGACGGCCTGTCTCAGTTCATTCCCCTTTCCGCGGAATGGATGGTCGATGCCAACTCGTTCAGTTGGCTCTGCCAGACGTAAGGGCGCCTAGAGGTGGACCTCTTCGCATCGGCGTGGTCGAGGCGTCTTCCAATTTATGTGGCGCCCTTTCCAGATTGCGAAGCCGTCGGGGTCGACCCCTTTTGAGTGTCGAGGTGGAGTTACCTGTACCTCTTCCCACCGGTCTGATTGTTGCTCCGGATCCTGGCTCAGTTGGAGACTTACCAGGGTAGAGTAGTCCTATTGGCTCCTTGGTGGCCGGCCCAGCCGTGGTTTCAGGAGCTTTTTGCTCGATATCCTTTTTGGACTCAGAGGTGAAAAAGTACTATTATCTAGAACACTTGATTATCCGGCTGGGGGTCCTTCCCATATAGTCTGGATAATCGAATGGAGACAGTATATTGTAGAATATATTGCCATCCACACTCGTGGAAATAATAATTCCATTCACCTGGGCAGTATGGGTCTTGAACCATGGGCCTCACGTATGTGGGGTCCAAAAAATGCAGAATAGAACCAGTGAAGAGCAGAGGTGCCATAGGCACAATCAGAGAATTCTGTATAAACATCAGAGGTCCACAGTTGTTCACCATTCTCCCAGAGAGCATAAGAAATATTGCCGGAACAACCGTGGACATCTTCAAGAGGAAACTAGATTGCTTCCTCCAAGAAGTGCCGGACCACCTGGGCTGTGGTGGATATGTGGGACTGCGGGCCGCTCCAAGCAACAGCCTGGTGGACCAAACTCTCAAAAGTGAAGCCTGGCCTTGGGCCGGGCTTTGGGAGTAGAAGAACTCCCAGAACCCCATCAACCAGGTATCATGTGAGGCCGTAGCTCTATCGACTGGGCTATGAGCAGTCTTAAAAAGGAAAGTTTCCAGAAAGTTTCCATCCTGCTGCCAAACTGGATTTTTTTTAACTTTCCCTGAGTCAGTAATTCCTCTGGACTTCAGTAGTAGTCAGGGAAAGTTGAAAATTCCAGTTTGGCAGCAGGATACTACTTTTGGAAACTTTCCTTTTTAAGACTGGTCATAGCCCAGTTGATAGTGCTATGGCCTCACACGTGTGGGGTCCATGAGACCCGTACAGTCCTGGTGAATGGAATATATATATATATGGTAGTTCTAATTCACCTGCACTTTCTGGTGAGTTTTACTTATGAGGTTGTTGTTGTTTTAGATAAAGCTCCTCGGAACAAAAAGTTCCAAGTAGCACGGGCTGTGGTGAGACGTAGTGGACTTACCTGATGGTACAGTGCAAGTTCTGCCACAGGAGCGGAGCTGAGGTAAATCGTAAATGCCCTTGCTCCTGTCATCTATGTGAGCACACCACAATCTGGTGGTCCATGCATTAGTCCAGATGCTTGCTAGCTTTGTGGTACCAGCGAGCGATAGCCCAGAAAAAATAGAAATTGCCCTTAGCAAATCAAAGTAAATTAATTTCTTAATGTAGTTAATTCTATCTAGGTCACTGCACAGTCCTGTACTATACAGCAAATTATTTTTGTTTTTCAGATATAAAACATTGACATATGATGTTTTAAGTTCAGTCCATAAGATGGAAGAAAGTCTGAAGAGACTGAAGCGAGCAAGGGACAGAGGAGCTCAGGGCGGTGCTGAAGTTAGTGGAGGATTGTCCGATGATGACAAGATTCGTATTCAGATCTGCCTAGATGTTGAATACTTTGGAAGTCAGGTTTGTAATCTAGCATTAGGTTTATGTGTTCTAACATGGGAATACCATAGTTTTATTACTTCTATTTTCACTGATACCTCCAAAATCAGATCATGTTATTCTGGATTTCTAAATAATTGCCCTCAGCAAATAATATAATATACAATAATATACAATTTTCACCATAATAGTAACTTGATCACTTTCTTTTCTGAGCAGAGCCCCTTCAGCTCTCTGGAGCTATCGGACTGATATTAGCTATATTAGTCTGGGGCTTCAGTCAATGGAGTTCTGCCTACCAGGGACCACGAGCCAGAACCTGGCCTCCTCAGAGAGGTGCAGGGAGCAATGGCCTAAGGAAACCCCAATGTATTTGGAAGTATTCCATGTCTGCCATCGACTGGGGTTAGGCACCCAGAAAGATAGGCGTCCCAAAACAAACTCCACTTTGTAGGAAATTGCAAACCCAAGACCGAACAGAGAAACAGATCTTCCCCCAATAGAAAACAAAGAAACAAGCAAACATCATCAACTACTGCCGCACCACTTGTCCACATAGCTCCCTCCATCCCTTCATTCGGAGCCGTCGTTATCTGGTAGGCGCACTGCTTGCTCTGCGCATCAGCCGGCTTCTCGCAAGAGGCATCGGCCCTTTCACGGGTTGCCCTTTCACGGGTGGCCCTTTGACAGGGTCCTGGAGGGGGAGAGGCTGGAGACAAAACTTGAAGGCGATATTTTAAATAAGGCCTATTCCCAAGGGGCTACTCAGTCTGGAGATGGGACAGAAAAATTAGGAAAGGCAGTGGCATTGCTGAGCTAGTGAAAGAACACCTAAAGGTAAACGAAATAATGATTGCCAATCCATGAGAAGTTGACATAATAGCAATAGAGATATGCAATCAGGATGATAAACTAACCATAATAAATGCATATAGTCCTCTGCCATGCAACACATGGTCAAAGGAGAAGGTGGATAATAAATGAGAGGGTCTTATAACAATAATGAGAGAGATTATAGCGAGAACTGATAAAGATAGATCACGACTGTTGGTAGTCAGCGAATTCAACTTGAAATCCATAGACTGGGAGGCATATGAAGTTAGAACAGAGGATTTCTGGGGGGAGCCCCTTCGGCTTCCCGGAGCTATCCAGGCTGATATTGCTAATGTCAGACTTTGGCATCAGTCATGTGTATGGAGTTCTTTGGGATTACCAGGAACCACGAGCCAGAACCTGGCCCCCCCTCAGAGAGGCGCGAGGAGCAATGGTCTATAGAAACCCCCGTGTGGTTAGAAGCATTCTATGTCTGCCGTCGACCGGGTCAGGGACCCAGAAAGGTAGGCACCCCAAAACAAAACCCTATTCTGGTGAAAATTACTACCAAAAGCCAAACTAGTGGACAGAACTCGCCAAACAGAAACGAGCAAACGAGCATGACATCACACGTCGCCGTCTGCACAGCTCCCCCCCCCCACTCCCTGGGAGGAGGAAGAGGGAGCCCCAGACTTTTGCGCCGGCAATCCACACCCAAGTTCTGAGGCTGATGCACTAGGCAGAGGTCATGTGCTCTGGCTCCAGACTTAGTTTCAGCTCTGTGCCTTGTGTGTAGTGGCTGTCTTTTAGATGGTGCGTGAGCCGAGTGTATTTCTTCAGTACTAGGGCTGCATGCGTCTGGGGTTCCCTTCCCTAGGTGCCCGGTAAGTACTGCCCTTGGGGCTTGGGGCCACCTTCCACAAGTTCCTTGGGTTCTGCCTCTGCTTGGCTGTTTACTGCTCGGTTTTCGGCCGCCCTTTGTGTGCTCGGGTGTTCTAACTCCCTTGTGTGCCTTAGGGTAGGAGGCAGTTTGTACTGGTATGGGGCGCAGGGTACTGCGCAGCTTGTTTTCACTATTCATAGCGGCCAGCTCTGTTCTGTCTGGGTACGCTGTCCTCTTGTGGGGTTTTCTTTTTCTTTTTGTTTGCCTACCTGGTGGGGGGGGTCTGCCTTGGTTATTGCCCCTGTGTACTCCTCTCTGTTCAGATGGTGCCCCCTGCTAGATCCCTGTGGGTGTACACATTACAGGGGTTCAGTTATTAGCAGATCGTTTGGTAGACTTTGGCACCGGTTAGCAGTATCCTGCCTGGGCTTCCCTGAGCGTGAGTTCTGTCTCAGGACCCTGGGAAATCCCACGGGGGCGCGCGGGTATGATAGATATGACCCCTGAGTCCCCCCTTGCTTTGTGCGAGTTCAAGGGTTGCTCTGCCCTTTTGTCTCTGGGTGACTCACTGTTTTTGCCTCTTGTTACGCTGCCTGTTGGGTTGGTGACACTTTCGACCCAGAGTCCTACGAGTTTTGTTGCTTGATGGTGACTCAGTTTACCCAATCTACTGATGACATTATTTGGGTACAGGCAGTGCAAGTGTTGCATGCTAGGTTTAGTTTGTTTCAATGCGCTAGGTTGGTTGCTGCGCCGGAAGCCCCAAGGCTGCCCCGTTTTGGTTATAGGGACCCAGATTTGGGGGTGTTGGTCGCTACGTTCTTGGTTCTGTCCGCACCCCCTTGTCCGTTCCCTGCTGTGTTCGATCTGGTCCCCCCTTCACCCCTGTTTCCAGTACTGAAACGTCTGGGGGTTTCGGAGTCGGGGCAGAGTTTAGATGGTCTTGAGACTCGGGCAGTCTCGGGGGATTCCCCTTCCGGTGTGGCGATGGAGGCATTCGAGTCGGTTCTCCCTGCCGAAAAGCGTCTGGGTCTGACTAGTGGGCCCCCTCTCGTCAGGCCTTTACGGCTGTGCCGTTCTTTTCTTTTGAGGCAGAGGCTTTGGGAGATGATTCGGCCCCAGGTCCTGATGTGAAGGATCCTGGAGCTGGGGAGGGGCTGACTTGGGGCATGGGACCCAGATGGCCCCCTCCTGGGTTTTTCTACCCTCTGAGGGGGACTTACTGTTACAAGGAGTGGGGTTTTCCTTACCCCGTCTGCGTACGAATTGGATTTGGTGTCTGCCCCTCCTCGGGTTCAGTTCTGTGTCCCTTCGGGTGCTTCAGTCCCGTCTTTCTGAAGGTTTTCGGCATCCCGCATTCAGCCTCATGTGGTGCGAGAGGCCTTTGTGGCTTACCTCCTGCACGACCCGGATTACCCCTCTATTATCGATCTGTCTTCGTTTCCCTACTGGATCCGTTATGAGATTCCGAAGTCGTCCTGGCTAGCGGACTGTCCTGGTTTTGGTTTGGAGGCGTGGCATACCCTCTGTCGTTCCCACACACTTGAGTGGTGTGCGGCATTGACGGTGGTCCAGGTTTTCCTGGGGTGGGGGGGCGAGTTTAAGCACCTCAGTGAATGCTTGTTTGCCCTTGCCCCTTGGGATGTTGACATTGTGCAGCTTCATGTGCAGGTTCCCTCCCTTTTGGCTGCACAGGTTGCTGTGGACTTGCACGCTCGTAGCCTCCTGGCTTCGCTCTTGCACTTCTTTTCCCTCCTGGAACTGTCTGGTGACTGCCTTGAGGAGGATGTGGAGGTGCTTGGAGCCGTTCCTGGGTCCGGTGCATTGGGCTCGGCAGCTCACTCGCCATCTGCCTTGTTGAAGCTGTTTGCACCGATCTTCCAGGATGCGGCGTCACTGTTTTATGCCTCCCGGCTCACATGTCAGCAGGCAGTGCTGGCTTCCTCTTTGGAATCTGCCTGGGCCCCTGGCTCTTAGAATATCTTCGCCCTTCTGTCCCTTGCAGTTTGCTGATTCTGTGGTGGTGCAGTATCTGCAGGCAGCTTCGGCTAGCTGTCGTCCGATGTCCGATTTGTTGGTTCTCCGGGTGTCCTGGAGGGATGGGGGGCTTTCTGGAGGGGTCGTGCCAGGGCTCAGGATTCCGCTCGTCGGATAGGAAACTGGTGTCAGTTTTGGAGCCGGCCTTTTCGCAGTTTGTCCCATTGACGGGAAGACGGGGGGGAGCCTTGCTCTGTTCTCTCACGCCTGGTCTCACAATTTGTGGACTTTTCGGGTCGTTTCCAATGGCCTGCAGTTGCGTGGCGTGGCCCCACTTCCTTCGGGGGGCTCAGGGCTGACAGGGCAGGCCTCTTCCCCTGCGCTCTGTCAGGTCATCTTGGAGTAGGTTCGCTTGGGCGTGGTCGTAACAATGACGTCTCTCAGATGGGTTTCCCGTCAGTTCCCTGTCCCGAAATAGGACTGTGAGGACCTTCTGGACTTGGCCCTTCTGAACCCCTGGGTTCATTGCCCCTCCTTTTGGATGACTACGCTGTCCCAGGTTCGGCTTCTATTGGAGCTGGCCGCTTGGATGGTGTCTCTGGATCTCCGGGACGCATATTGGCATGTCCCGATTTATCCGGGGTTCAGGGACTGACTCGGTTTTGTTGTGGGGCATCAGAGTTACCACTTTTGTTGTCTCTCGTTCGGGTTGAACCTAGCACCTTGCATTTTCACATGCCTAACATGGGTCGTGGTGGCCCATCTGCGTCTTTTAAGTGTTCGGGTGTTGGCCTACCTCGACAACTGGCTGGTATGGGGTCCCAGCCAGTCCGCTTGTCTGCTCGTCAGGAATTTGGTTCTTTTCCAGCTCGCCGGGTTCAGGTTCTTGGTGAATTGAAAGAAGTCCCATCTGGTCCCCTACCAATTTTAAACTTGGCTGGGTCTTGTTTGGGATTCTTGGACAGCTTCCTTGTCTCTCCCTCCGGAATCTCTGCTTCGTCTGCGGTCCCGCCTTTGCCATTTTCTTTGCGATGTTGATCTACCCACTAGGTCGGGTTTGGCTTCGTCGGCTGGTTCCTTCGGGGACGTGCCTTCTGTCTCTCTCACGATCGCTGGGTTCAACCCTTGGGGGCTTTGCATCAGTTGCTGTGTCACCGGCTTCCTCTTCGAGTTTTTCGGGGTTCAGTGCCTGAGCCCTCACTCGATGTGTTCATGGACGTGTCGTCTATGGACTGGGGCTTTGTGACCAGTGCTCACCAGGCCGGCCACGGGCGGTGGGGTCCGTCCATCTGTCAAGCCCACAGCACGGTCAGGGAGTTCGCGGCGGTGTGGTTTTCTCTTCGGAGGG